AATCCCCCTCGGCGGCAGAGGCGCGGTCGAGTCCGCGACCCCGCGGACGCGCGACTTCGCGGACGCGTGGCGACCGGTGGGGATGGGGGTTGGGGATTCAGGAAGAGCCATGGGGCGGCGCAACCCCAGCCCCACCCCCTCGAGCAAAAAAAAAAAAAAAAAAAMAATTTTTGGGTGGGGGGGTTTGGGTGAGTGAAGGTATTTAAAAAAAAAAAAAGCAGCCCTTTTTTTTCTTTTTTTTTCCGTTGATTGATTGATTGATTGGCCCCACAGGCGCACACACACACACACACATAGGTAGGATTGTATATTTCCATGTTCTAGCGGAAGATTCTTTCTATTTTGCTTTTTTTTTTTTTTTTTTTGAATGATTGATTGATTGATTGATTGATTGATTGATTGATTGATTGATTGATTGGTGTGGGCGGGGTCGCCCCCCAATCCCCAGCAGGCCCACACACACACACACACACACACACACAGAGTATTGTATACTACCCTAGGCTACCAGAGTGGCCCGGGGTCACTTGCCCGGCCGGGCCAAAAAAAATAAAAAACTTATTTTTAAGTTTTATTTTTTATTTTAATATTGGTGAAGAATTTTGATGTGACCCTGAGGCAAACGTTGTTCAGTTTACTTTTCTGCATATCATAGTTTTCTTTTGGATTTTTTATAATTTTTGTTTTTTTGCTGGGAACTTCCCTGGTCCTTGCACGGGCTGGCCACCCGGGAGCCGGGCCGCCCGGCTGGTAGCCTAGATATTACCATGTTTTAGCGTTTTTTTTTTTTTTGTTGTTGACTGATTGATTGATTGATTGATTGATTGAGTGGTGGGGGAGGGGTCGCCCCCCCCCCCCGCCACCCACCACACGCACACACACACACACACACACACACACACACACACACACTCACAGATGGCAGCGCCGGCGCGGGCGAAGGCACAGCGGCGGTAGCACACACACACACACACACGCACACACACACACACACACACACACACACACACACACACACACACACACATTCAAACATACACACACACACACACACACACACACACACACACACACACGTTCACACACAAATATTAAAAGGCCCCAGAAAAAGTATATATATATATATATATTCCATTCCTTGATTGACACAAAAAATAAAAAAAGAAAAAAACGAAAAAAATAAGAATACAAAGAACTGCCAACCAAAAATCCTTCCCCCCAAAAAACCTTTTTTTAGATTTTTTTTTTGAATTTCTCTTCTCCACATTTTCTGTTTTTTATTTTTTATAATTCTAAAAAATTATTTGTTTCCAAACAAAAAAAATGGGGTTGTAGGGATTAAAATTCCCTACACCCCCTTTCTGTTTTTTTTTTTTTCCTATTATTTAATTTAGGAAACATCTCGCAAAATCGGGTCCGCGGTGCGGACCAGGCTGGCCGCGGACGTGGCCACATATGCGGCTGCCATCCGAGATTGGGCCCGCGGATGCGTCCACGGGTGTTTCATAGCTCTCATGAAGAAGGCTGCCCAGGGTACCGGACACTGACTGTGCCAGAATCTCTGTTTGCTTCGGGCGGAAAATTACGAGCTTCGGGCGTGCTGGCTGCGGACGATAGCAGCCATGGACTATGAGTCTAGTATGAGGTGGACGCTGCACTTATGGATCTGATCATGGGCATGGAGGAAGACTCGGTATAATTGCGCTGCTCTCGACGACGACTATTTTCTCACTCAGCCTCTGCATCCCCCTCGCTACACCTTCCGCTTTGCTTACTACTTACGTGACACCATGCTACGGATTTTTTGGATACGACCATGATCATTTTGTGACTCCATCCCTTCACGTTGTTTAAGTGGCTGCTTTGCAAAACCTTCACGCTTTTAGAGATCATGTCAAGGCAGGAGGGGATGGCGGAACGAACCGAGGCTGCCATAGAGATCTCCGCCTTCGTCCTGTTGGCTTTCGTTGCTTTGCTCGCATTCCTGTCCTTCCTTGCATTTCTTCAACACCTCCAATCTGCTCTGCCTCCTTTTTCCTCTTTCGCGCTGGCTAAGCATGCGCACTGATGACGCGCTTTGCTCGCATTTCTTGTCCTTTCTTGCCTTCCTTCACCGCCTGAGATCTGCTCTGCCTCCCTCTTTCGTGCTATGAATGCACACATGATGTTGCAAGGTCTACTCTCTGATGAAGCCATGAATTTCTGGCCAGCGCCAGAAAAGCACTTCTTGGAATGCCACTTCCCTCCCTGCGATGGCTATCGGGAAACGATCCCGCATTACATGGATAATCCCTTGGGAATGCAGTCAAGACTTGTGAATTTTTGGTAACAGATGCTAAGTGTATTCAGTTTTTGGTAAGATCGAGTAGGTGATAAGTTGGTGGTGCAGTTGCGGACAGTATTTTTCCAGAGCTTTTTTCGCTCATCTATTCCTTCGTTTGTGTTAATTTCTACTTCCTGCGCACTATTTTTGTTTGTCTTGCTGCTTTAAGAATTTGCCACAATACGATGCTTGCTTCTTCCTTCATGTATGAAAAAATGTGGTGATTCCCCTTGTGGTGGTGACTCTATTTGCATACATTTTCTAGGAAACAGCCACATCTCTAATGATTAATTGATCCAAAAAGGTTTTTGTATACTTTGGATTGTCTTTTTTTATATACATATGGGCTCGTTAGACACTCCTCGGGCGTGTAAATCTCCCGAGGAAAATTTTGTTCCACCTGTCCTCGGGGATGAAACCGAAAAAAAAAAAAGTGAAAACATTTCCTTGGGGAATCCTCGGGGCGTCCTCGGGATATAGCCATTTGGTGGCATTCCCCAAGGGACCTCTTGAGGTCCCTTGAAGGTCAAGGATCGCGATAATCGGAGCGGCGAGGGCACCCATCTTCGGCATGAAATTTTTGTTGGATGGTCCGTTGGAGTTCCTACCGCGCAGCGCACGGACATCTTGGGTCTTCAACGTTCGTCTTCCAGGAACTATACGCCAACGGTAACCGTTGGTGGCCGGCCAGCCCCCGCGGACGTCATCGACCAGTGTTCTCCCTCGCAGACTCGCAGTCAATGCCGCCAAACACAAAGGGGTCAAACGGTCGGCAAATTTGAATACTTCAGCCCAGTGCCGTACCCCCGTTCACCTTTCACGGCCCTGGTGAACGGGGGCCGGTCACCGGTCATGAAAAACTTGACCGGTCGTAGTTCACGGAGTTTTTTTTTGGCTGGTAAGGGGGTATTGTTTTTGCATAGGTCTGTGGTCCATGTCAATGGGCACCTGCCCAAATTTTATTATTATTTTTTCGATCGGAATATATATATTTTTATTATTGAAAAACAAATAATATGAAGAAAAAAAATTGAGTTCGGCTGTGTTAGGCCTAGCTTTCGTCGGCCGTACCTTCATTCTGAGGGTGTTTTGGGGCCCTTAAAAAAACAAAAACTGATCACATCATTACACTGCGCCAGCGCCATACAACCACAAAAACAAAAAAACAAAAAAAAAACAAAAAACAAAAACACAACAAAAAACAAAAAACAAAAAAACAAAAAAAACAAAAAGAAAAAACTACGGCGCAGTCAGGGTTACAGTTTGTAATTGCATTTGAAACTGCGTTTTAGCAGTTTAGTCAGGGCCCGAGTTTCAATTGCATTTGAAACTTCTTTTAGCAGTTTGAAACTCGGGCTGGCTTTTTCTAGCAGTTCAGTCAGGCACATGGCCGTTTCTTTCTTTCTTGAGAAAACTACGGTGCAGTCAGGGTTTGAGTTTGTAATTGCACTTGAGGAGTCAGAGTTTGAGTTTGTAATTGCACTTGAGGCAAAAGGGCCGGTAATGCTGAATGTATATGACCTACGTTTCGGGTCCGTGGGGTCGTGTGGGTTTGTGTTGTATTCGCGGGATTGCCTGAAGTGCAATTACAAACTGTTTTCGTGACTGCGCCGAAGTTACCCCTTCTTTCTTTCTTTCTTTTTTTTTTTTTTTTTTTCCGGTCGCCTGCTGCGCCGCGCCGTGCCGCTCCGCGGCTGGAAAAAAAAAGGGAAAAAAAAAAAACAAAAAAAAACCAGCCCCCTGGTTGGGCCACGGCCGAGATGTCTCGGCCACAACCCAGACTGGCCATGGCCGAGATGTCTCGGCCGCACCCCGGACTGGCCACGGCCGAGATGTCTCGGCCACACCCCAGATTGGCCAGGGCCGAGATGTCTCGGCCACAGCAGAGATTCGCAGGCACTACCCTTCACAGGCAAACGCGAGGTCTCAAGAGTAGCCTACTCCGAAAAGTGGGGGCCTCGGGGCAGGGATGGAGGCCAAAAAAAGAAAAAAGAAAAAGAAGAAATAAAAAAGTAAAGAAACGAGGAATTTCGAATGAAGGCCGTCGGCGCGACCTTGCTCCGGCCGGCGCTACACGCTCCGCCGAAGCGTTACCGGGTTCGGCAGAGCCCGAGCTGTCACCCACGATGGTACCACCGAGATACCGACCTGGGGTTGTCTCACCAAGCGCCCTGACTTAAGGGCGGATATGGCGACATCCTAGCCGTAGGATTGAGATGACAGACAGAGGGAGCGCCTTACACTAGTTGTCGTTAACAGAGAGGACAAGGGAGTTAGAGTTAACAGGAAGGTAGAACGTGGAGAATCCAGTGAGAAGAAGCAGGAAGCTAAGGACGAGGAGTGATGGAAAGCACACCAGCGCACGAAGGGACGGGGAGATCTCCCCCTCTTGCTCCACACGAAGAGACGAACTTCTGGGAGGATGAAGACAGAATAAGGAGTCTCCTAGCTATGTGCTTCGATGACGGGGTGTATCCAACGGAGATAGATCCGGGGGAGATGGTAGTGGATGGAAGGGAAGTTAGGTTTAAGTTAAACACCTCACTCGACGAAATCAAGGTCAAGTGGTTGAAGGAGCGTACGGTCACAATCATCTACAAGGATGCGGCAAGGTATTTACCGAAGAACATCTAAGATCTAAGATGACCTAGTTCGAGCCTTCGAGGATGGTTGGGTTATCAGCAACGAGCTTTTGGGGAGTATTCAAAGACGCGGACGAATCAAGATAGAAGGACCAGGGGTGGCCTCCTATGTGGCGAAGACAAGAGACGTAGCTGAATACATGTTAGCTGAAGGACAAGTGAACGTGACTTTGAGAGGTACAACGTACAAGATCATCTTCAAACCCTGGATGACCAGGGCAGAGTTCAGAGACCTGAGAAGGCGGGAAGAGGAGAACGTTTTTTGGGTGATGGCCTTGCAAAGTCCGCTGGATGACATGCCGTTTATTTATGCACAAATTGAGAAGGCGATTGGTAAGATTATTCGAACGCATCTAATGGACGCGGATCCGGATAGACCAGCTCTGGTGAACGCTCGCTTTGATATTGACCCGGAGGCTAGGGTCAACATGAAGGATGTCCTCTGGGTGGAAACATCCAAGGGAGATGTGCTTGAAATTCAGCTGGCTACAGCAGGAACCCTGAAGTGCAGTAAATGTAAACAGTACTTCCACTCCGAACAGGACTGCCGGAGAGGAGCGAGAAGCCGGAATCAGGGTGCAGCCACAGGAGGAGCATCCAGTCAAAATCAAACTCAGCATACGGAGGGAGCTTCGTCTGCCAAGGGCATGACCCAAGGACAGGGCTACCAAGGCACGTTGGGACTGAGACTGCAGACTCCAATGCAACCAGGACCCGTCAGTCCGACAACAAACATGAGGAACAACCCCACCTTCTCTCCTCAAGGAGGAGGTAATAGAGGGGGTGGAGTCAACCACTGGGCCTCAACAGGTGGTCTGCCACCTCACCAGTACGCTCCGCACCAGGCGAGCTATGGGATGCTGCAACAAGGATGGCAAGCAGGGATGTTGTACGGGGGAACAACTGCATTGGACTGACTCATGGCTAATAGGATCCCACCTGGGCCGTGGTCTGGATGGAACGGTACCAATGGCGGCCCAGGAGGGATGGGTCCAATTGGCCTTGGGCACCAGTGAACGATGGGGTCAGTTCTGGACACGACAGAACAAGCAAGGCTCAGAGCGGTACAGGGAGGGCAAGGCACAAGCACCTCGCGCTCATTTCGAAGAGTACTGGGTGGAGGTGAAGGAGGAGGCGGAAGAGGGGAGCAGCAATCAGAGGGTACAGCCGGAAGGACAAGGGCACGGGGTGCTGGCAAACAGAGGCGGTTGAGCATGACCTCACAACCAGAATTGAGGCAGGAGCCGTCAGGAGACTCAAGAATCTCGAAGGAAGATTTGGAGACGTCCATCAACCACGAGGCTGGTCTTGTGACCCCTGGGAGAAAGACTACACGAGATAGACGGTTGATGACTACGAGTAAATCTTCAGGCGTGGACATGACTCAATATCTGGTACCGCTGCTGTGCACGACGGTAAGAGGCGCCACTTGGGTGATAGCGTGGCAAAGGAACGCGGGCCCTTCGTTAATCTTTGGACAACAAATCTCGGAGATGCCGACCATCCAATCAATAATGGAGTGCTTGAGTACGCTATATCTGGATGCGTTCCCGGTAAGACTTATACCCGATGTCCCCATGTCGAGGATTCTCTTTGGCCCGTCCGGGAGTAGATTCAAATTTTTTGTCCCTATAGTAGATGCGAGACTCTCAGAGTCGAAGCTTGTGGAAGTTGCGGAAGTGGAGGGCATGAGGTTAGCTCCGTTGGCTATCTTCGCGGAAGCAAAGAAGCAAGACTTATCTCGTTTTACGATTTCACCACTGATGATAACAGCGGACGCTATCTCGGAATTAAAAATCCGCTTGCCGAAAGATAAGAAGTTGGACTCAATTTTTGTTCAGTCGGAGCTTACCCAGAACTGGTCAGAAGGGGAGGGGAATATTGCCCGCATCCAAATACAGCAGGGATCTCGGGGTTTAAATGGGTAGAGTTAGAATTGCCACCTGGAACATGCAAGGTTTAGGTGACACGTCAGGTAGACACAAGAGGGCGAGGCTCAAAACCTGGCTGCATGGAAACAGGATCTCGGTGGCCTGTCTACAGGAAACGAAGCTAAACGAAGAAAAGACAACGACTCTTGGGAGATGGTGGGACGGCCCACAGATCTGGGCTGCGGCGAAAGGGACAAAAGGGCTGGTAGGAATCCTCATTCACAGAGATCTTGGTTCGGAGATTGAGGATTATCATGCGAATTTGTGGGGAAGGTGGGCGTGGGTGGTTGTACGACAGGGAGAAGTAACATGGGCAGTAGTTTCGGTGTATACCCCGGTAGAACGAACAAAGCGAATCGCGTTCTTTGAGGAACTCAGAGTTACTCTCCCCAAAGTGGACAATATCGTCATAGGAGGTGATTTTAACACTGTGCTGGACTCATCGGTTTGTCAGCGACCAAATGGCTGCAACAAGGATGCGCTAGCACTGGTAGACCTGATGATTAATTTAGACCTCCACGACTCCTTCAGAGAACTGTACCCGACAGACCTAGGTTATTCATGGTTTTCCCACAAAGGTAGGGGAAGGATATTGGACTATCTGCTGACAAGGGGAGAGCTGAAAGATGGAGTGGTTAGTATAGCAACGGTGGACTGTCCGGTCTCATACCATAAACCAGTGGTGGGTGTATTTAATTTAGGAACGAACCAGGAGAGAGGGAAGGGGTTCTTCAAATTGAATGTGTTGAATTTAAGAGATGAAGGATTGCATAGCTGGCTAAAGGATTTTTGGGTATCGTGGGGGGGACAGAAACAAAAGTTCAGTACGTTGGCGGAGTGGTGGGATGCTGGAGCGAGAATTGTTTCTAACCTCCTTAATATGTTCTCACGAATATTGGCATTAAATAGAAATAAGGAGGAAAGAAAGTGTCAGAGAAGGGTTCAGGAGGCGGAGGAAAGGATGCAACGACACCCAATCTCAGAGCTTACATGGGGAAAGGAGAGGGCACACAAACATGCAGAATAGGATACATTACAACAGGAGATATCAGACTAATGGGCCGAGGGATTGAAAGTAAAAGGGATAGAAGTATATGATAGAATGTCTAGGGCAACCTTTCAAAGGATAGTCCCGGTAAGAACAACCCCGGTCATGAAGGAGCTTAAACTACCGGTTGATAGCGAAGAACCATTGGCGGTAATTCCCGCAGACTTATGCTGCTACGCGGTCTCTTATTACCAGGATATCCTCACCACACGGAGACCGGGGGAAGGAGCAGATATAGACCTGGCTAACGGATCAGCCCACCGGAACAATACAACAGCTGGGCTGTCGACACAAGCTCGACTTGATCTGGATAGACCTATCACAGAGGAAGAGGCCCGAGAAGCAGTGAAAGCAATGGCAACAGGAAAAACACCTGGGAATGATGGGCTACCGCCTACCGGTGGAGTTTTACCGGAAGCACTGGGATATCGTAGGAGCGGATCTAGTCGAGGTCTATAATGAGATTCAGCTAGGGGGTAGACTCCCGGTCACAGCATGTAGAGGTATTATCTCTATCCTATATAAGAAGGGAGACACAACCGAGATTCGGAATTGGAGGCCGGTCTCGCTGTTAAATGTATCCTATAAGATTCTCGCTAAGGTCTTGGCACGAAGATTAGGAAGATATCTCCCGCAGTTAGTAGAGGAAGACCAAGCAACATTCGTCCAGGGTAGATCCATCTACGACAATATTGCGACAACAGTGGAAGTCCTCGAGGTGGGAAAGGAGGATCTTGATGTAATAGTATTGTTGTTAGATATGGAGAAGGCGTACAACCGGGTAAACTGGTCGTACGTCCTTATGTCACTGAAGTGGATGAATTTTGGGGAACTCTTATGTAATTGGGTAATTGCATTATACTCACTCTCATGAGCATCGGTTATGGTCAATGGGCATATTTCGGCGCCATTTCAATTATCTCGCTCTCTCCGGCAAGGATGCCCGCTAGCACCGCTACTGTTTGTAGTGCACCTGAAGATCCCTTTTAATAACATTAGAACTCAGGCGCAGGTGGTGGGACTGCAGTTGGGACACCAGGTATGTAAGGTCAAAGCCCTGGCAGATGACTTGTTCGCTGTTTCTGCTAACACAGTCGACTCAATGACAGCTCTCCGCAACTGCGTGAAGGAGTACGAGGATGTGTCGGAGGCAGTCATTAACTGGGCCAAGTCAGCTTATTTCCTCCCTAAACGATACAAACCAAAAGTGGAATGGGGAATGAAACGCATTCAGTCGAACGAGTCGGAAAGATTTATGGGGGTCCCGGTAGCTCTCACTGCATGTACTCTCCGCCAGGAGGAGATCTTGCAAGAAAAGGTGATGCAAAGGATGTCAACCTTGGGACGGGCCCCTCATCTCTCACTTTTCGGACGAGCTCTGATAATAAACGCAGCTCTCTTCGCTCTGTTGACGTTCGTGGGAAATGTTAGGCCAATCCGGAAAAAGACTCAGATGATTGTGAAAAGGAAAGTAGCCAGATTTGTGTGGCGCCCCTTTGCAGAGGAGGGAGAGGGGGTAATGGCTAAGGTAGCCTGGGATCTGATCTGTGTTCCCAAGCAAGAAGGTGGACTAGGCATGGTGGATCCGGGGAGGAGGAATACAGCCATGCTTGCAAGGTGGGTGGTCCGGGCAATTAACATTGAGCAGGATAAGCACTGGATTGCCCTGGGAGAAAGGATTCTGGTGAAGGAATGGAATATGAAAAGGCCAAGGGATGTGTGGTCCTGTGTGTGGATTGAGTCCTATTTAAACAGACGAATCAAGTCGGAGTTTTGGAGTGCAGTCTTGCAGGCTTGGAAAAAGGCAAAGCCGGATATGCTGTCGGAGCCGAAGACCAAAGAAGAAGTCTTGTCACAAATCATCTTTGAGAACCCCCGGATCAGGGACTCAGAGGGATCAATGATAATGGCGAATGCTGCGCCAGGGAGCTTCGGGAAAGCTTGGGCGGAACGAGGGGTAACCAGAATTAGAGATCTCTGGAATCAGATCTCTGGTAGATGGTGTTCCACTAAGGAAATGGAAGAGAAGTTAACGTCTTGCAAGTACATCCGGTCGAGGAGGGCTGAAGTTTTGAAGGCGATCCCAGAGGAATGGGAAACAATCCTGTCTCCGACCCAAGTGAATCGCCCAGGAACCTGGTACGAAATGGAGACGGATGCGCCGAACAGAAAGTTTGTGAAACTCTTGGAGCAGTTTCCATACCTGGGAAGGGTGCTGCAACAATTGAATCTGGAGGGCTCGAATGGGGAATTAGCGATAGAAGAAGAGGGAGAAAATATTATTACGGCCCCATGAGGTAGGTTAACAGAGGTCAAAGTGCGGGAGTCAGTGGATGAGGAAGGGGTATGGGGAGCGGTTTTGTGGAACCATGGTAAACCTATTGCAAATCTGAAAGCAGACCCGACCAATGGGTGTGGAGAGGAGAGGAACACGAGGTGAAAATGCAAGACTGGACGACTATTCGTTAAATTTGGCATACAAGATACAGGCACCACCAAGAACTCCGTTGTCAACGGCAACAGAAAGGTGGGCAAGAATCCATACAGAAGATACAGAGAAGATAGCAACGGCCCTGAAAAGGTGCTGGGAGCAACTGGTGGACCCCCCACACCCAAGAGCAGCGGCTCTCCTGTGGCTCGCCTCCTTGATGGCAACACCGTCGGCAGTCTGGCTAATTAGCCGGGGCCTAACGGTAGACCCTCAATGTAAGAGATGTCGTTGGTCTTTTGAATCGACAGTGCATATTTGGTGGGACTGTCCAGCCTCTAGGAGGATCAAGGAATGGTGGGCCAGACTTTGGGAGGAATGGATTGGGAGCGGATTCAAGTGGGACAAAGACTGGGTTCTGTTGGGAGGGGTACCAGATGACCTCCCCCTGAACAAGGGTTGGGGGTATGTCGCTCAAGGAATCCGAGCAATCGGATTCTGGATCATCTGGACAGAGAGAAACAGGAGTCAATTCCACAACAAAATCATGCCTGATCAGGAGATTAAGACAACCATGAAGGCAATGCTTCGACGTGTGATAACAGCCGAGTGGAGAAGGAAGGTACCGAAGGGTAGACATAGTCAAGCTGGGTTCAAATGGTTCCTGGAAACCTGGGGCGAGGGGGGAAAACTAGTAACAGTGGGAGGGGATGGGAAGTTAATGTTTGCAGAATGGTTACTGGGTAGATAAATAGTAGGCTTACATACCAGGGCACTCGGTTTTATATCCACAATAGGAGGCAGCAGGGCAAAGAGGGGAGGGAGAGTGTCATGGAAACGTGCAACCGCAATAGGTTCCCACCGCCGTGTAGGCGGGGTGAGAGGCAGGTGAGAGGAGGTATGTTAGGTAGAAAGGGGTAGGGAGAGGGGTTTTGGATAGGGTAGGTAGGGGACAGGGGAACAATGAGGTAAATTACATAAGGTTGTTCGTCTGGATGATAGTGGGATAGCTTTGATGGCTGTTTTTTGGTCACATGAGTCGTGGGGTGATGGCCCCCAGTTGAGCCCCAGGGCTTGGGCCAGGTGGCTGTT